AAATCAAGCATCTTGATAATGTCAATTTCAGAGAATTATTTGTTTGAATCAGAGTAATTTTTACAAAGAAGGATGTATCCCTCCCTAAGACAAGATACTTGTATCTACGTTGGCCATTCTTTATTATGAAACAGTGCAATACCAACTCTTTCAATTTGTCTTTTAGTTTGGAATGGGGAATTAATTGTATTAATTTAATCGTGTAAATGTTTTAATTGTGCCTAACAACAACATTATTCCTTTTAAATTTACCTGTGTACGTTATTTTTTTAAACGCGATTTTGTTCAAGGTTATGGTGGTCTTTTTGAGATTGTGTCATAGATCAAATTTATTCGTTCAGTGTATGTTTACTTGTTTTTGTTAATATATCTTTTTGATTGAGTTAAGCCATTTCAATTGATATTTTATAGTGTGTCTTTCTATGTTTTAATAATTACACTACTATTTCAGATTAGGGTGAAGGTTGGCACCTGTTAAAACGTTTAAAACCGCTGCATTTGTTTGCACCTGTCCTAAGTCAGGAACCTAACATTTTGCAGTGGTTGTCGTTTGTAGATGTGGTTCTTAAGTGTTTCTAGTTTTTTTTTAAATAGATTAGACCGTTGCTTTTCCTGTTTGAGTTGTTTTACACTAGTCATTTTGGGGCCCTTTATAGCTTGCTGTTCGGTGAGAGCCAAGACTCCGTGTTGAAGGCCGTACTTTGACCTATAATTGTTTACTTTTTACACATTGTGACTTTGATGGATAGTTGTCTCATTGGCTCTTATATCACATCTTCTTATTTCTATATAGCCACTTGCCGACTTGCATATATATTTGATTAAACATTTTTTTTCAACTTCGACTGAATTTTACTTGAATGGCTTTGTAATAATGTGTAAAAGAGTGGAAATAATGTCAGATTGCTCGAAACACATGTGCAGTATATGTAACAAATAGTTTTGTTCAAAACAGAGTTTTAAAAGACATCTAAAGAGCAACACAACAACTGCTTAATAGAATGTAATATCTGTGAAGCATGTATGCAGCACATCTCTTAAAATGTTCTACAAAGGTGAAGAGAAGTGAATGTGATGCAAATAACAATAATCCATGTAGTACTAGTACATCCAACCATAGATCCAACGAATTTTACTTGAAACTAGTGAACAATATTTCATGTACAGCAATTAATCCATTTTCTTCAATAGCAGAAACCTCCAACCAAGTTCAATTATCCCCCAGATTCCCTTTGCTATTGGATGATATAGTTAGTACAGAAGCTTTTGATAATGATTTTCCCACTGTATGAACTTTTAGAATACTATGAATCAAAAAGTAGAAACTGTCATACTTACTATGAAAAAATCTGAAACTGTTTTTGCCGATAAATCAAGCTTTACTGAACGATCTACATCTGTTAAACATTCATCAAATACAGATGCAGAGAAGATTGACATTTCCAAAATGTTGACAGATGTCCAACATCAATATTGCACAATTAAAAAAAATGTGATAATACCATTTAGCACAATTAAATGATTAGGATATAAATAATTATTTTTTCGAAAGGTTACATGAGCTTTTCTCATCACTTGGCGTCTAGCGTCGTTAATTTTCACAAAAATCTTTGTTTTCTGAAACTACTGGGCAAGACTAAACCAGACTTGACTTAATCATCCTTAGGGTGTATAGTTTAAAAAAATTGTACAATGACCCCACCCACCAACCAGGATGGATGCCGTGGCTAAAAAGAGAACATAGGGGTTAAGAGCAAATTTGACATAGGTAAACATGGCTACTATGGCTAAAATTAGATCATAGGGGTTTAAAATATATAGAAGTCTACTGGAAAAATAATCATACAATTTCAAATGGTAACATCTTTAAAACCGATGCAAATAATGATATCATAAGGGGTTTACAGTTACTATATATAAATAAAAAGATGTGGTATGCGTGCCAATGAGACAACTATCCATCCAAGTCACAATGTGTAAAAAGTAAACAATTATAGGTCAAAGTACAGCCTTCAACACGGAGCCTTGGCTCACACCGAACAGCACACTATAAAGGGCCCCAAAAAGACTAGTGTTAAACAATTCAAACAGGAAAAGCAACGGTCTAATCTATATGAAGAACGAGAAACGAGAAACACTTATGAAACACACCAACATACGACAACCACAAAATTCCAGATATTGGGGACCTCTGTGAATATATTTATTCCTGAAATACATGTACATGTAGCCCACCTAAAAATATACACATGATGTTAATTGTTCGTCTGTTCATTTGAAACTGACATTTTTCCTGCGGATGTTTATTTATCAATTTAATTATAGCTGATTAACTATATGTTTTAGCATGAAAAAATCATTTTTGTTAAACTTTTGAATGATAGGAACATGTTAAACAAAAATGAGAAATACAATGTTTGTGCAAAACTAAATTTGTTCCAATATCATGTATTCAGGATTGGTGTATAAACTACTTTCTTCTAAATTGCTTTGGGATGTATATCTAAAAACACAAAAAGATGTAGCCATTAGCCAATGAGAAAACTCTCAATTCAAGATTTAAAGTAGTATATATAAGCAATTAAAGGTGACTGGTCACAGTACGGTCTTCAACATGGAGCCTTCACTCACCCCAAAGTGATACATGTACTAAACACTTAAATGATACAATGTAATTATTTATAGCTTCTCATTTGGCAAAACCTTTCGGAATTTGGAGTTTTCAATACTCTTCAACTTCGTATTTGATTTGGACTTATTTGATTTTTTTTATTCCATCTTCACTGATGAGTCTTTTATAGACGAAACGCGCGTCTGGCGTACAAAATTTTAATCCTCAGTTTATTGTCATCTTGTGTATTTACCATTTTTTAAGGGGCCTCGGTGGCCGTGTGGTCTAAGTAATTATTACTGTAATCACTATCTAGTCAACACTGAGGTTGTGAGTTCGAACCGTATTCGTGCGGATGCACTCTTATCTTAATTGACTAGAATTGTTTTCATATCGAATGTCGGTGGTTTTCTCCAGGCACTTTGGTTTCCATCACCAATAAAAACCGGCTTCCACGAAATAGCCCATGTGTGCTTTGAAGTGGCATTTAAGCACCAATAATCAATCAATATTTGCCATTTTGTACCGCCATTACTAGCTTTTCACTGAGTATTTTTAAAACAGCTTCCCTACTTTATTTGTATTTTACACCCAATAGAAGTAATTTGCATATTTTTTCAGGATCTCAATACAGTTTAGTAACAGACTGTAATAATTCAAGTTACATTGTATCATGATTGTGGCCAGTATTACAAAGTATATCACTGGATTGAGCTCTCTGTTTAAGCAAAGTTCTTTGCATTGATCTCAGTTTATTGTTATGCATATACATTCTGTATGGAATTAAGATTTGAAAACAGACCATTCATATCTACATGTACATGATATCAACTGTAAGGTAAGATGATTGAAACGTTTTGCATAATCTATAAATAAATCTCTATAACAACTGTCTGCACATAATACTACAAAAACAATTTACATTAAATGTTAAGGGAGATTAAAGTATTTTAAATTTCCATTTGGAACTACCATTCTTTGTCTGCCAGACAGCCAGTTAAAGGAAAGCATAATGAAATACACAAAACATGCTTATTGCAATACATGTATGATGTCAGGTGATTTTGACACACTCTGTTAACCATCTGTACTGCCTATATTTATAGGTTGCATTTCTGTAAATATAGACAATGCAATTATCCATAGGAACTCCCTTTACGGCTTAAACTGTGCCACTTTTACTATGAAGTTTCGTGAAAATTATATCCTAGAATGGAAAGTTGATATGCACTACTATTTTATTCAAAGGTCAAAAAATAGGGCTGTGCGGCATATTTTCAACATTTATATGCCTCGAACTTCTAAGAGTCTCAACTTATACTTAAGTTCTGTATTACCCCTACTTTCACTTTAGGTGACCCTCAGAATTCAAAATTCCCTGCAACCATGTGTAAATATACTGGTTACATTCCCAAGTTCTGTCTCTATGAGATGAAACATAGAGATCATATCTGGGAACCAGTACGTAAACAAACAAAATATCTATGAATATTATATCTCCCCAAAAAAGGCGTGTGAAACAGCTGTATTTACAAAGTGCAACCTATAAGAGTCTCAAGTACAGATGGTCCACCCTCCCCTATGGCCAATGTGGAATAGATAAACACTGTTTTTGTTAGATGTATTTCTGCTTTGTATTCATCTGATGAGTTAAGCCCTTTTCAACTGATTTTTATAGTTTGTTCTTATGTTGTACTGTTACACCACTGTCCCAGGTTAGGGGAGGGTTGGTGCCTTCAAACTAGTTTATCCCCGCAAAATCTGTGTATGTGCCTGTCGCAAGTCAGGAGCCTGTAATTCAGTGGTTGTCGTTTGTTGCTGTATATCATATTTAGCTTTCTCGTTTGCATAGTTTTACATTTGTCATTTCGGGGCCTTATATAGCTGACTATGCGGTATGGGTTTTACTCATTGTTGAAAGCCGTACGGTGATCTATAGTTGTTAATTTCTGTGTCATTTTGGTCTCTTGTGAAGAGTTGTCGTATTGGCAATCATATATGTACCACATCTTCTTATTTGTATATACACAACAAAACGCACAGTAAAACTCTTAAAAGAAGCCCGAGTCTGATATGGTAGAATAAATGACAGAAGAAACAAAGCAAAATGACAATGATCAACATAAATTTACAAAGGACTACTAGCCGTCACTCGCATGTCAGCTCCAGACATCAGTTTAACTCATCGAAAGATTATGTCTTCATCAATATACGTTTTAACAATTGTTTATGCTTTGTTTATCACTAAAAGGGATATTACATGAATATTGGTTAATATGCACAATAAAAGTTTACTCGGGATCAAATTCTTGCAATAAGCATATAGTATTATTTTTATAAATGAAATAAGTATTTCAAATTAAAAATAAAAAAATTGAATAAGTAAACCTAAAAAGAGAATTTTATTCATTCTGTACCCAATAAAATGATCTTTATAATACTCTATACTCAATCAACCACATACAACGACGACAACACCGATACTAATAGTTAAACAATATGTTTGTGCTCATATCATATTCCTAATTGTATTCTATCACTGTGTTGATATCCCTAAAAAGTAAAATAACAAAAATACCGAACTCCAAGGAAAATTCAAAACGGAAAGTCCCTTAACAAAATGGCAAAATCAAAAACTCAAACACATCAAACGAATGGAAAACAACTGCCATATTCCTGACTTGGTACAGGCATTTTCTTATGTAGAAAATGGTGGATTAATCCAGGTTTTATAGCTAGCTTAACCTCTCACTTGTGTTAAATATCATACGTAATTTTATTCGGCATCGACACTTTTGAATTTATGTTTCAAAATGTGTCTTAAAATAAATTTAACATAACCAATGTGTTTTTTACAATTCTAATTGATATCATTCTGATGACTAAAGCACACTACAATTATTAATAATTACGCAATCAATTAGTTGTTAAATCAACACTAAACAAATAATAAAACTTAATAAAGTGTACGACAACAATTAAGCTTCGTTTATAAAGAAGTGATATTGTCCTTAAAGGGGCATTATCTACAATTTAGACAAAAAATTTAATAAAAATTAAGTAGTATTTCGTAATAAGCAGTCAAATTTGTAAAAATAAGCGCACAAACACCGCTGATGTACTATTGACTTGCTAGTCAATAATTTAACCTCATTGATTTTGTATTGAATTGACCTTCAATTTAACCCCTTAGCTAGATATTGGTAACGCATTCAGGTATAAAAGTAAAAGAATATCAACATTGAAAGTGAAATAAGGGTGAACCATTTTGGTTGACTGATTCGATCCATAAAAAAAGTCATTCTTATACAGGTACAAACGATGATTAACTTATTTTTTAACCTATAATATGAAATCACACAGGCCTAAAAAAATTCAATTACATGTGATAGCTATCTTTGTATATTTATATTTATGTTTATTACGGGTTATATGAAGGTCGGCGGTCTTCGATGGTTAATTAGATGGGGTCTAGACAAAAATACACACGAAATGCTGATACATAGAATCGAGTCCATGCATTGTTAATTATTTATCTAATATTTTTGTTATTTGGATAAACGTTTTAGTATATTATAAATCAAATTTGAGCATTTGAGTCAAACCGGTGAACATGAATTTCGACAGCTAATGCACTTTATAGGAGACAAACTGGTTAAATATCACAATAAACTGATAACCATTATAAAATGTAAATGATGTATATTTGACACAAATCACATTGATTAAAATTTCAAAGTAAATGATTGTACAATAGTGTTTCTCATTACATCTTTGATTAGTCACTTCAGAGCTGTAGCGATATTCTTTACATTAATTTCGTAGTTTGGTTTCATTGATTATATGATAAACCAATTTGCCCTTACTTGATATGTAAAAAGGTTAAAACCGAGGAATATATCGATGTATTGTAAGAACTTTTTCAAACTAATAAATTAGATTTCAACATTGACTAACTAATGTGCATCGGTAGATTAGCATCACAATTATGTTTAATCTATCACATGCTTGGTATTTACATAAAGTCATTAAGTGAGCTGAAAACATTAACAAAAAACAAAAACAAAACACACACACACACACACACACACAGAGATATATATATAAATTAATTAATGAGTAAATAATACAATAATAAATTAGGATTTAAAGCTCAAATATTTAAAGTATGAGAGTATGCTAATTAAAGGGAGGCAAAATAAATTATGTTTAGATAATCCTGATCATTATCAACTAATGAAAGTTAATCTGTTCGTCGTTTTTACTTTGGCCTCTTCGAAGGACCGGGTGTTCCCTCTGCACTCGACTTGTGTTTAGTTCCCGTTCCAGCTTCCGCACTTTCCCGGTGTTCCTGTTTGATTGCTGAATCATTCACGGAATATAAGCCAACCTGTTTTAAACATACAGTTGTTTCTTTCTTTAATATATCGATTTTTTCATCGTTCTTTGAATACACCCGAAGAGTTTCCTCTTGAAATGTTTCTGGCAAAAACAGTGAGGTCTGGAAACAAAACAAATAATACCATTACCGAATAACATTTTCATATTGATATGTTGATAAACAAAGACATTACTGTAATGAAAAGGTATATTTGGAGAAAAATGTGTCATTTATAAAGTATGTCCTTATGTCTATAAAAGTAAAAAAGCAGTAAAAAACAACAGCTAAAAAAAAACCAAACAAAGCAAAAAAACAATCTTTTATTGTATACTATATTACGCTTAAGCTAGTACCTTTTTTGACTTGGTGCTTGGAAAACAGTCCGTATCATTCTCTTTCGTATAGAAATAAACTGAGGTGATCGGATTGTCTGGCCCTTTTCCATATGAATAAGTAACTTTCTGTGAACGAAAATATAAATACAGTAATCAGGATCGTTGTAGCATTCAATCCGTGGAAACGACCCATTAATGCATTGGCAAACAAGGAAATGCAAGCTTCTAATTGGCCATTAAAATGTTCCTTAGATTAATTATTTGACCTTGATGTATTACAACATTGATTTCCAGTGGTGTTAAATGAACCAGAAAGCTTGTGATATGCGTAATATTATTTAAGCAAAGAAACACTGTCCAGTACCTAAAAATACCAAAAGGTAACGCATAGCAAATCGAGTTACGCACAGGGCTGCGAAATATTCAATGACAGAATTTGAAAGTTGTATATGAATAACTGGAGATAAAGACAACAACGACAAAAAATAACCCAAAAAACAATAGACAGTTGTTTCAGCTATATATCAAGCTCAAAATTGTCCCAGGTATACACGGCTCAATTTGTAGAATCAACCGTAGCTGTTCCAGGGACAAGTCCCGAGTTTTGGTGTTATTTTAAATACTTGTGTTGAGTGTTTATCAACGTAGGTATGTTTTGATAGGTGAATTACTAAAACGGAAAAATATAAGTCTTATCAACTCCCTTTGACATGTTATTATGTACTAAAAGAGAAGCACACTAATTAGGTGATGTACATGTACGTGTGCTTTTTTATTGAACATCTGTCAACCACTGTTGCTTAAAATTTACTAACAACACTTTTCTGTAAGACTATGTACAAATATATCATGTTCGGGATTTTTAAATATTATATTAAAGGTAATTTATATGCCATCTTGGTCGTGAATTTTGAATCTCCACATATCGTGTTTACATTTCTAGAAATGTAATCGATACGTTACGTTCGGGTAAGTTCACATCAAACGGACTTAATTGCTCCTGAACAAAAACTGACCCAACAGGATTATGAGGTAGAGAAAACTAAAGTAGACATGTATTTTTTCGACCACTTTCACAAATCAGTTGACAGATACGATGTGTATGTATCTCAGCTCACCAGCAGCTTATCACGCGATCTTAGATCTATAGATGGCAGAATTTTCCTCTGATTTTCCGATTACCGGTTGTGCCCTTTTCTCTTTTATTACTTTTTGACTGAATATGTTACTCGGTTGTGCCCTTTTCTCTTTTATTACTTTTTGACTGAATATGTTACTCGCATGAGGAAAGATGCATACAAAGCAACAGACACTTACCCTGTTAACACCTGCGGTCTCGATCCTTATTATTTGTGTGCCCTGAATGGATTTATGAATATCCATCGATAAGCTATTATTGTCTCTAATGTTGCATTATTTAGTCCAATATTTTAATCATGCATTAAAGAGGTTCTCAGTTCCCAATATCTTTTCTAAAAAAATAATCTGCTTATTATTATCACGACCTCCTTTTCCCCGAATGTGACCTACTGAATTAGACTTATTTTCGGGTTTGTACTTACATGAGCAACACAACGGGTGTTACATGCAAGCAGGATCTGCTTACCCTTTCGGTTCACCTGAGATCATCCGGTGGGGTTCGTGTTGCTCAGTCTTTAGTTTTCTATGTTGTGTTTTGTATAATGTTGTTTTGTCTTTTGCCCTTTTTCTTTTTTAGCCATGGCGTTGTCAGGTTATGTTTGACTTATGAGTTTGAATGTTCCTTTGGTATTTTCAGTCACTCTTTTTTTATTTGGCACTGGACGTTCATTCATCAAAAACGTTATCATCATTCCGCAAGATTTATTTCATTTTCAATACTTTCACCTTTTCTTGCTTTTAAACCAACATTGTCATAACTTGCTTGTAATGAGCAATATCCTTGTAAAATTCCACTGTTCACCATATGTTTCATTTAGAGATTTTAGTTATTGAACGAATAAGAAGTGTCGTACATCTAATATGGGATGTTAGGTAAAACACATTGATTGTAAGATGCCATAAAGGAAAACCTGTCTTTTATATTTCATTCTTTAACATTCAGTTCTGTCAATTAGCAAGTTTCAATAAACTTATCCGATGTAATAAACAGTCCTGTGTGACTTGAGTCGTTTACATGGTGAATTTGATATTGTCTGAGGTTGAGTAAATAAAACCCAGCTATATCAGATACTAGTATATCTGTAATCAATACATAAAACGTATTAACAAAAGAGGGACGAAAGATACCAGAGAGACAGTCAAACTCATATATCGAAAACAAACTGACAACGCCATGGCCAAAAATAAAAAGACAAACAGACAAATAATAGTACAGATGACACAACATAGAAAACTAAAGACTAAGCAACACGAACCCCACCAAAAACTGGGGGTGATCTCAGGTGCTCCGGAAGGGTAGGCAGATCCTGCTCCACATGTGGCACCTGTCGTGTTGCTTATGTTATTACAAATCCGGTAAATAGTCTAATTCGGTAGGTCACATTCGTGAAAAGGGAAGGGTATTGTAGTTACGACATAAGGGACATATCCGATATCATCTGTGAAACGGTTATTCCATAACGGTCAACCAACTCGAGATGGCGTCCGTAAAATTTACGAAGGGCTGATTTCAACTTCACCATTTGGAACTCTTGGTTTAAAAGCTTCCTTGTAAGCAGCAATCCTCTATCAAGGAAATCATGATAGGAAAAACAAGCCCGGGAATATCGTATCAATTGGGAGATATATACTCCGTATGCAGGAGCTGCTTGAATGTTGCTACATAGAAATGGAAAGTTCACAATTGGGAAGCTGAAATCATCTCTTTTGTCGTAAAGTTTTGTTTTCAACCGACCCTCATTGTCATTTTCTAGATGTAAGTCAAGATATGAGGCAGACTTAACTGTATCTGTAGTATCCTTTATCTCTAGTTCGATGGGATAGATTCGTTCAACATAGTCACCAAATTTTGTATTATTTAGTGAGAGAACATCATCTATATAGCGGAACGTAGAGTTAAAGGATATTGCTAACTTCTTATCTTTCTTCCTAAGAAGTTCCTGTATGAAGTCAGCCTCATAATAATAAAGTAGGCAAGAAGAAGGGCACAATTGGTTCCCATTGGAATTCCGACAGTCTATCTGCTCGTAAAACACTCGCATGTTGTTAGCTTCGATCTAAGGGATGATATCGTCGCTTAGAACAGACACAAAATATCCATATTACATGTATAATACTGCTTATCTAATTTATAAGATTAACCGACAAATTAAAATGGATTCGATTCGATATATTCTTAATTTCAGTAATTATAACTTGCATTGTTCGGATCCGTACTTCGGTTTTCCAACTAATATTACGAGACAATTTACCCATGCATTGACTTGGTCACCCTTGTAGATTAGTTGAAAGTTTCCGAAACACTGATACAAATGTGATTCTTGATAAGTTATGGGCATCTAATTCCAAATTCTAATTGTTCACCAGAAAGCCTGTCAAAACGAACTATAAAATCTTACTTGCACTGCAAAATCATCTTCGGTGAGTTCTGTCTGTAGCAAAAGACTTTCCAATTTATCATTTTCTCCTTGAATTTTCTGAAGGATAGAAATTCAAAGCAAGAAAAAGATTATACTTTTTGGTATTTATTGTTGTTCAATTGTGACGGAATAAACCAAAACTGTGATTTTGATACTCTACAAAACTTAGAAATAGATTACCTTAGCTGTATGTGGCAAAAACCTTTCGGATTTTGGTTCCTAAGTGCTTTTAACTTCGAATTTAATTTGGCCTTTTTTAATTTTGTTATTCAAGCGTCACTGGTGAATCGTTTGTAAATGAAATGCGGGTCCATCGTACAACTTTTAAATCCTAGTATCTCTGATGAGATCATTTGCAAATGATCTTTTTTGAACGATTTTTATTGCATATATTTCCTGCTATTATTTCATTTACCTTTTTGTATACTAGTATTTCTTTTCATTTTTTTATATTTGAAAACTTTTCTTATTCAAATTTTTCTCTCAAATATGATTAAGCATTCCAGTACTGCTCAATAATTTTTAACAATGCAGCTTTAATTGTTTGCGAACTTCCGAACTGACTTGCGAGTATTGTCAATTTATGCGCGATACAGGTATTTTTATTTATTTATTCTTTTTTTTGTGCCTGCTTCAGATTTGTCTAATTCAATTTAAGTAAGATTTTTACATTTCTGGCCCTATTATGTACAAGCTCTCGCAATAAGTTAAAAAAAAATGTTGCCCATTGTTTAGGACGTATAAAGGCTTATCATTAAGGTAAATGACTGTATATAAATAAATAATCAACATAATAGTTAGGATATGAATGGAGACCATCATGGTAATTGTGAGATACATATTTTTTTTAATTGACTGAATGGTATTTTTGAAGACTTTGAATAGCTGCTGTAGGCATTGACTGTTCTTCCCTTTGTAAAAGACGGATTGTGAGATACATATTTTGTATAAAAATCGAATAGAAATCATATTTTATACATTGACCAAAAATAAAATAAAATGTCTGATTTCGTATATTTTATTCATATTTTACGTATAAGGAAAAAAAAATTGGATATGCATTCATCTACCACATATCAAATTGGGATAAAATATATTTGCTAAATTTGCTAAATATCAAATTGACTACAACAATGTTCTTGTTATGATATGTTTATACAAAGATGATGGTTATACGTCAATGAAAAAACAAACAAGAACCAAAACTAATCATAGTTTCCAACAATTGACAGATGTTTATACAAAATGTGGTTTCCAATCATTCCATGTCTTGCAAAAAATCTTTTAAATTAAATACAAACAATTAAAACCTGACATCAACACTTAATGATTAATTTCCAATCCATTAAAAATAACGCCGAAGATACCAAGGGGACAATCAAATTTTATAAGCAGGTGATACATCGATCACACTATCACACAAAAGAAAAAACGTCAATAAGACAAACAACAAATCACTATACTGAAATATAAAGATAGATTAACACGAACCCCACCAACAAATTCGATAATAAGTCTCATTAATATATGATGCAACAACTTACCGAAGGGTAAATCATATGCATAGTTATTTGAGTTTATTTTTTTTTTCGCTTTTAATTATCAATCTTCCGCCTTTAATTTACCTTTATATCTTGATTAGTGCACAAGAACAGCGTATATAAAACATAATAGAGCAATCAGTAATCAGAAAACACTTATCTTTTAAATAACAGTATGATATTCAACAAACCTCAAAATTATAACTAATATTATGCAGTATTTCCAGTAATGCTCGTAATTACTGAAGGCAATCCCACATCTGATAGGTATCTATTTGTTTTACAAACTTACATCTGCTACTGTACTTTTCATATATGTATATATCAATGTAAAAAAAAAACAGTACGAACTTGCTGATTTTACGACCTTGACCATTGTTCGGTTTGAAACGCTTTAAGTGTACATAACTAGTCATTTCTGACATATTGCAAAAACTTTGGTAATTTATTCACAAGATTTGAATCTCGACGCGACCAGCCCTTTTAATTAAAAAACCTTCCATGGTTGCTAATTGAAAGTTGATTAAATTTACGGACAGTCAAGTTTTTATCAGTCTTGGATTTTAAACTCACTTATCGTTGAAAACTTTCGTTGACAAATATTCTCAAATATTTTGTGTAATTTTGGAAATGAAAAAAATTGAACTATTTATTCAACATGTTCAATTAGAGCATGGAATAATAGGGTTTTAACAAAATATTCAAGGTCACGAAAAAAGGTGATAAAATAGTTACTTCCACTAAAAATTCCACAGGCATGTATACATATATAAACAATTCCCATGGCTGTCGTTTAACAAGTCAACATAGCCACAATGCAAATGAGCAGAGTACAAACAATTTTGTCATATGATGTCTGAAGTTTTCAATGACGTGCTTATATAGATTTTTAAACTTATCATACCGAATGAATTTGTGTGGGTTTTCATATAGATCTACTATGTTTTAGAATTAATAAGTATAATTACTAAGAGATAATACAATAATTATAATAACCTTTACTGGTAATGTTTCATCAACTCGCCTGTAAAGTTTGCGTTTATAGACGTTAATGATCAACTCCTGTGCTTTTTGCATATCTTTTTTCGGATTCTTTTCCATTAAAATTCCATCAAAAACGTTATCAGTAAGCTTCACGTATACTTCCGGGTGTTCCCAGGCTTCACTCATCTTCACGTCTTCTCTTTTTATAAAACAATTCGTAATCTTAGCTTTAATCAAGACATTCTAATAATTAAAGATTTTTTTTCAAAGTTGTTTCATGAATTTTTATTCTATTTGTTATTAAAATTCTATATCCTTATAAAGCAAATTATATTGCATATACAAATTTTAAAAAATATTTATAGACAGCAGTAATGTTGCATTCTATGCCTGATATTGTACAATTTCACAGTCATTTTTTGCTATGAGGTCTTGTTTGTTAGATATGCATTTGGTCAATTGTCTTAGTTGATTGTTGAACCTGTCTGTCATTATTATCCAAACAATTGATTAATATCTAAATGTTTTGGATCAAATGATTCTTTCCGTGCTTCGAGTGTAGTTTTATATGATTATGACAAGAATTATTTTCTTTCAGTTTTCTTACCTTTTATTATTTTGAAACAAGAAATGGTCATTGGCGTTTACTAAAGCGTCAGTGAACCTGAAATCATAAAATTCTATATTAATTTAGAACTGTCTTTGAATATCGAATTATATAAGCAATATAAATCAAACCGATGTTTCATAAATAATCTGCAACAAACAATAATGGAATGGTTTTTCAATGCATTGGAAAAATATTTGACATTTACTAAAATTATAAACAAAGTTAGTTTGTTACAAAACATGTTCAGCTGTTGTCTGCTCTATGGTCGGGTTGTTGTCTCTTTGACACATTCCCCATTTCCATTCTCAATTTTATTAACCTCGACGTATTTGCCTGTCCAAAGTCTGGAATCTCAAGCCTACGTTTTTTTTATAATTTTGGGTTCATTTGTATGTTTTGGTGTTTAATAGGGCGATCACTGTATATTGTGATCTAGTATACATTATTGTTGTGTGGCCAGCTGAAGCCTGCCACCGGTAGCGGTATGTTCTCACTGCGTTACTAAATGTATTCCGACAAAACTGTGGATACAATGGTAAACAGAAAACATTAATAACAAAGTTACCTTCTGTGACAGAGATGATGTTTCCATAGACACATTTAAACACGTAGCGGATGTCTTTAATCAATGATTAAAAAGTAAAACAACAAGAATACCGAACTGCAAGGGAAATTCAAAACGGAAAGTCCTTTATAACATTGCAAAATTAAAAGCTAAAACACATTTAACGAATGGAAAATAACCGTCATATTCCTGACTTGGTACAGGCATTTCCTTATGTAGAAAATTGCGGATTAAACATTTCCTTATGTAGAAAATTGCGGATTAAACCTTGGTTTTTACCTATCTAAACCTCACACTTGTTAAATATCATACGTATTTCAGCATCGACATTTTTTTATTTATCTGTTTCAAAATGTGTCTTTAAATAAATTTAACATAATCAATGTGTTTTTTACTCTTTTATTTGATATCATTCTGATATCTAATTGACACTACAATTATTAATAATTACGAAATCTATTGAATGGATTATACCTGGTTTATACCTAGGTTAACCCCTCACTTGTATGACAGTTGAATTGAATTCCATTATATTGACAACAATGCGTGAGCAAAAAAAACAGACATAACAGGTAAAAACGTCCAAAATTTCGGTACAGCAGTCAACATTGTAATATAATCGTGATAACTATAGAAACAAATAACTGTTTCAACAAAGAAACAAAAACTGGCATATAAACAAAGTACATGGGCAAAAATGGAAGACAGAATTCAAAATTGACCATAGCGCAATAACACAATGGCGGAATGTATAAGTACCGAGCCACGTCATACGTATATAATAAAAAATGGACTGAACAGTAAAAGTTAAACAAAGGGAACTTTATCACGTAATTAAGATGAACACCTAACGTCAGGACATAGAATCTATACTTCAAGACCATCATGCATTATTTGTTAAATCAAAACGAAATATTTATCAACAAGGTCTTGTTATCTTCTTATAGTAAAGCAATACTTTGACGAAAACATGTTCCCTTTCACATTTGAGTAGAATAACGTGCCTTTATAAACATTTTAATTAAGAGGTATTTCCTCCGGATTCGTATGCGTTTTTAACTGTTTGGTGGTCAAATCTTGTTTTAACACGTGAAAAACAATTTAGTGCAGACGATAAAGATTCATTTGCTTATCTTTTGTACTGTGGTGGTACATTTTGCCGCTGTTTTATACTTAAAGCAAATGTACTGTGTACTATTACGTTTTCAGCTCCCTCAGTATTTGATTTGAACAAATAACCATGAATACACAGTTTGAAAACCCATTGGTGGTCTTGGACTGTTTTCTCTTTTGTTGTGTCGTTGCCTCTTTGACACATTCCCAGTTCGTTTATATTCTATTATATTTTTTAGTGTTTTATACATATTTATGATAATGCAAAAAATTACCGTTCGCAGGAAGATACACTTTCAAGTGAAAAATAATCAGTTATAAAAATATCTTGACAACTGATGCATGCCTTTATTATTTTGTATAGAATGCAGGTACTAAAAAAATATTGGCAGATCATAGTATCAAACGGTATTTGTCTTTTGTTTCTTGTTTGCCTTTTAAGATTTTACATTTTTTTTTTATTTCGACAGTCACAAAAAAAAAAGCAATACATATCTGTTTTTAAAATGTATATACATATTTGGTTGGTTCAAAAGCTACATTTTCATTGTCTTCTTGTATAAAAGTAATATTATGAACAGTGGTTTTGTTTAGTCTTAATCAAGAAAAAAAAAAATAGACATAATATATTGTATAGTTTGGTGGTAATCTTTACTACCCACTTAACTAATTATTTGAAAGCTATCAAATATTTAATTTCATTGCAACAATATGTTAAACACGGAAAATCACATGTATAAGTCAATATGATTTTTTTCTCTTACATTAACTCTACTGCCTTAGTTACTTTATGGTAGTAAGCTCTTCTGAAAAGTCCAATTCTGGTGTGAAACAGTTCATACAAATTATACTCTTCCTGAAATGAGATAGAATGTATAATTAATATTTTTTTTGTTACAAATACCACTGGAGCTTAAAGAATAGTGTGTATAAGTAAATGAGATATAAACCATACATAACAATCATATACAAAATTATAATCTAAAAGTTATGGAGTACTTTGCAGTAACGTAATATGATAACGTCAGCTTTTGTTTTCTTTGGGTTGTTTTTTTTTTGCGATTTTAAGAGGAAATGACATTTTCTTCTTCTTTTTTTTTAAATTGTTTTAATTTTTTATTTGTGCTTTATTTTCATTATTATTAGTACTATGTTACAAAGCGTAGCCTAACTGAAAATATAACATAAAATAAACTAACAAATTATTCATTGGATATCAATAGTTCCTCCCCATATTTCGTTTGTATCAGTTTTTGTTTGAGGTGCACACCCCTGTTAACGAAGTCCGTATAGTGTTAACATGGACTAGTGTTACATATTATTATATGAACACGCCATATGAGCAGATGATATATTACTGCTGAGACATGTTAATGAAGTCCGTATAATGTTAACATGGACTAGTGTTACATATTATTATATGAACACGCCATATGAGCAGATGATATATTACTGCTGAAACATGTTAATGAAGTCCATATAGTGTTAACATGGACTAGTGTTACATATTATTATATAAACATGTCATATAAGCAGATGGTATATTACTGTTGAGACATGTTAATGAAGTCCGTATAGTGTTAACATGGACTAACGAGTGAGAATTGGATATCGCTTAATATCAAATCAAGTTATTGAATTTTAATATGATAATAAGCGAGCATCTGGCGAGTTATTAACACTATTTAGATTTAAAAAACGAGAGTTGATATCATACAAAAACTAATTCTGACGCGTTTAACCTATTTTTCTCATGGTAAAAATTCATAAATAGAAAAATCCATGAATAGCAAGTCTAGTTATGCATGCCATCAGATGTCCTTTTTGACGTCACACCTATAGGTTGCAATTCTGTAAATATAGACAATGCAATTTCCCATAGCAACTCCCTTTGCGGCTAAAACTGTGCCACTTTTACTAGGAAGTTTCGTGAAAAATTATAACCCAGAACGGAAAATTGATATGCACTACTATTTTATTCAAAGGTCAAAATATCGGGCTGTGCGGCATATTTTCAACATTTATATGCCCTGAACTTCTAAGAGTTTAAACTTATACTAGAATTCTATACTACCCCTACCTTCACTTTTGGACCTCCTCAGAATTAAATTTTAGGCGCTACAATATTTTCTATACTGGTAACATTCTCCAGTTATGTCTCTATGAGATGAAACACAGAGATCATATCTGGGAACCAGTACGTTAACAAATTAACATATCTATGAATATTACATATCTCCCGAAAAGAGGCGTGGCTTGTGAAACAGCTGTATTTACAAAGTGCAACCTATACACACATTTATTCAAATAGAAAACTCTTGAAAAACACTTTTTCTCACAACAATTCTTATTTATCAGAATTATAGCCTTAAAGAAATCAATGCATATACTCTAACTTTTCTTTTACAGTACATTTTATACCCCAACCCCTGTTTCAATTTTTCAAAGAATTGGAAAACAAGACTTTAATTATTGTCAGCTTATCCTATGTGCATGTTTTCTGACATGAAATGTCTAGAACCTGTTTGAAACTATTCTTTTACAAATTAAAAGCATTTCAGAATACTATAAATGTAAAGTTTAGTAGTTAATCATTCCAACATTCAAGATTATATAAAGTATCCAATCCTGCCTTTGTCTCCAGTCCACATCTTACTGTATGCTTATTTGTCAATTAAAGTTAACAGTTTCTACCTCAAATGGTCAGTGTAGAAATGTTGTCAGAACAATATCATCTCTAATCATATATCTAACATAATTTAGCTAATATATGAACAAGAAGTGTTTAAACAAAGCCATATTTTCAAAAGTTGTATGTATGAAGTTACCAGTCTTATGTATGACTTCACTAAAAGTTTCATAGAACTGACTGCGAACATCTGTTTTTTGCATAATTTCAAAGCACAGTTATTGTTCTCTATACAAAAGACCTTTAAAATAATAAAATCATAGCATTTACAGGTTAAATTATCTGTTTTGTGACCCAGGGGGTAGGCATTTGTCTGTTTTTTGCCACTGGGGCCTCACATTTGCTAAATTATTCTGCTTTTTCTGTGAATATGGAATATTCAATACATATTTAGGATAGAACACACTATTGTTAGTTTTATTGAGGTATTTTTGTATTTCTAGCTTGTATTTTTTTATTCCGCGGTCACAAAAGAGCACATTCAGGTGTTACGGCTTACTTTTGGGTTATCGACAGAACAAAAACACCCCAAAAACAATATTCAGGAAGGATCTATGATTTCAATGACTGCGAGGAGTAAATATAAGCACTTCTAAACAATTCAAATTACACATATGCATACATTAAGAATTTATTTTGAATTCAGGCCTTTAAGTAAACTATGCATACTATAAACTGTGAATTTATGCTGAGTCATCATAGTAAAGGACCAGGATTTTCTCAATCGTCATGAAATATTCATAAAACTTTGTATTTGAGTTAATTTCATTTAAATCTCTGAGATAAATCAGATTTGGCGAAATTTTATATGTTCTCTTTTTTCACCCTATTTGGTTGCAATTCTATAAATATACACAATGCAATTTCCCATAGGAACTCCCTTTGCGGCTAAAACTGTGCCACTTTTACTAGGAAGTTTCGTGAAAAATTATAACCCAGAACGGAAAATTGATATGCCCTTCTATTTTATTCAAAGGTCAAAATATAGGGCTGTGCGGCATATTTTCAACATTTATATGCCCTGAACTTCTAAGAGTTTAAATAAACTTATACTAGAATTCTATACTACCCCTACCTCCACTTTTGGACCTCCTAAGAATTAAATTTTAGGCGCTACCATTTTTTTCTATACTGGTAACATTCTCAAGTTATGTCTCTATGAGATGAAACACAGAGATCATATCTGGGAACCAGTACGTTAACAAATTAACATATCTATGAATATTATATATCTCCCGAAAAGAGGCGTGGCTTGTGAAACAGCTGTATTTACAAAGTGGAACCTTTACATCAGACATTTTGCCCTTCAGAATGTTAAATTAAATATAATGTTTCAAGTGAAAAGTGTGAGTGTTTTGTATCTTATCGTAAAAATCAGCGTTGAAATGGAGGAAATGTACATCGTTTTGACTTTGAATGGCTTCAATGACTAACGAATGGCCAAAGGCAATATCGCAATATTGTGTCAGTATGCTGGATTATCCAAACAAATTATTAACAATTATTTTTTTCGTATCACATTTAGGAGATAACTGTATTGTATTTTAGTTCCGACGGCATCAATTGGTGATTTAATAGTCGCAAATTAAGTTTACTGGTGACGCGCTAGCGGAGCCAGTGCACGGGTATTTGCGACCAACAAATCACCAATTGATGCCTCAGGAGCTTAAAATACAATATTGTTATCTCCATTCTATTGGAACTGACAGAAAACAACGTCAAATCATACATTTAAAATCTGTCATACGTCGTCTGCGCTTGCGCGTACGTTTTTATAGTATCAATTGTGAATTGATGCCATTAAAATTGGTGACGTTATCCAATCAAAATGAACGTTACAAACGATGTTGCATTAGAATACAATATTGTATTTTAGTTCCGACGGCATCAATTGGTGATTTAATGGTCGCAAATTAAGTTTACTGGTGACGCGCTAGCGGAGCCAGTGCACGGGTATTTGCGACCAACAAATCACCAATTGATGCCCCAGGAGCTTAAAATACAATATTGTTATCTCCATTCTAATAGAACTGACAGAAAACAACGTCAAATCATACATTTAAAATCTGTCAAACGTCGTCTGCGCTTGCCCGTACGTTTTCATAGTATCAATTGTGAATTGATGCCATGAAAATTGGTGACGTTATCCAATCAAAATGAACGTTACAAACGATGTTGCATTAGAATTTCGTATCACACTCCTTTTAGTATGATTAAAAAAATATTATAGAATTGATGTTAGAATATTGGATTGTATACTTTATTTTATTTAAACGTTTATGAAAAGAAATGTTTTACCTTATCTCGAACAGCAATAGTAGTTTCATCAGGGGTATCACTTGCGAACATCACTCTACATTGACTGATGAAACGCAGATGGTCAAAGTTACTTTTCATTCCGAGTCCATGACAATCTCTAGCGAAATAGTCCATTTTATCAACATCTATCTCATTTCGCTTGTTTGCTACAATCTTCAAATAACGCCAAACAAAATTAATAAAATAATGTATAAAACGTTGTTCATCAAAACATTAAAATCCGAAATGATTCTATCAATCGTTTTTAAGAATCTTTCATAATTAACCAATCTCTAATAAAAAGAGTAATAGTGACATGCAACTACATTTTCTACGCGTAAGAACAACATCAAACGTTGACAAACGCTCTTTTTTTCATTTTCTAGCACTGGATCGTTACCAATGCTGGTGAAATGATGTATCTGATGTTATCATCAGTTCAGTTGTCAATGCTTTGGCACTGACATGATTTTAACCATACATTATTGTTTTTTTTATACTTATTTTAGAAATCATGAAGAAACTAAGGTTCCACAAAAAGTCGACCTTAGATTGATTTGGCTATTCTTTTGTTTCTTGTTCAGGCTCTGTGATGGAGCTAATATATCTAAACGAAGATATAAAAGGTATATCAATTACTTTACTGTTGTAAGCGGGAGGTTTAACTAGCCATAAAAACAGGTTCAACCCACCATTTTTTCTTAAAATGTCCTGTACCAAGTCAGGTATATGGCAGTTATTATCAAATAGTTCGTTTCTATGTATGTTGGCGTTTGTTTTTGTTCCACTTCAGTGTTTCTGCTGTTCCTTGGTTTTCCTCTTATAGTTGATGTGTTTCCCTCGGTTTTAGTTTGTAACCCGGATTTATTTCTGTCAATCGATTTATGACTTTTGAATAGCGGTATACTACTGTTGCCTTTATTTGTGCTTTACCAGTATAAACAAAATCAGAATTGATACCTTCAAGTAAAATACACTTACAACCTTACCTCATACATGTAATGTCTTGCTTTATCTTCCGTTTCTTTCTGGAAAATGAAATTTTCTACATGAATAATAAGGTAGCATTAAACTTTCTGATTATTTTGAAGACGAGGAGTTTGTGTGTTATTCTACTATTCATTGCTTAAACCATTAGTAGATTAAGAATAACAGATATATTAAGTCTTAAATGGAAGAGTCAAAAGTAAAATAACAAAAATACAGAACTCCGAGGAAAATTCAAAACAAAAAGTCCGTAATCAAATGGCTAAATCAAAGCTCAAACACATCAAACGAATGAATAACAAAGTCATTTTCAACATGATTGGATATGCATACATTTTGCTATTATGTGAGACATCAAGAATATTAACACAGTTTTAAAAAGTAGTATAAACACAAAAAACAATCAAACAATTTTTATTGAATACAAGCGTTTGTCTGGTCATAGGATAAATACTTTCTATGGGATACATTACAAAAGAGACTAACTGTCGAATAACAATATAATCTATATAAAATGTGAGAAAAAAGATCTATTAAGCCAAAAAAGATTTATAAAAAATGATCCCATATTTTTCCATTGTATTAGTATCTAAATGAAAATAAATCATAAAATATCACTGTAACGTTTTTATTTTGCATTATTATTATTATGATTATGGACCCTTTCAGGTTTTGAAAAAAATACATATATTTTAATTATTGAAACATAGAGATGGAAATAACCTTAGTTCCGTCGATAAGGTCTTTGATGAACTGCGTACTCCTCTCCGTATCTGCACCAAATTTCATTTGGAATGCCTCTTTAAGATCATCATTTTCTTTAATCATATAGTCTATCATCATTCTTGAAACATCTTCATGCTAAGATAGATAATACTAATTTAAATACTTCCTTTTATAAGATCTTTATTTTACGAGCCCTGTAACGTTTTTTAGATCAATACAATAAAATTGAGAATGGAAATTGGGAATGTGTCAAAGAAACAACAACCGGACCAAAGAGCAGAAAACAGCCAAAGTCCACAAATGGGTCTTCAACACAGCGAGAAAATCTCGCACCCGGAGGCGGACTTCAGCTGGCCCCTTAACAAATATGTGAAATAAATGCAATGAAATGGACATCACACTAAACTCCGAAACATATAAATTAATTTGAATTAAAAAAAACCTACAAGACTAACAAGTGCCAGAGGCTCCTGACTTGGGACAGGCGCGAAATTCGGCGGGGTTAAACATGTTTTGTGAGATCTCAACCTCCCCTATACCACAAGCCAATGTAGAATAAACAAACACACAACAATACGCACATTAAAACTCAGTTTAAAAAAGTCCGAGTCTGATGTCAGAATAGGTAACAGAAAAAACTAAGCAAAATGACAATGATCACCATAAATTAACAAAGGACTACAAGCAGTTACTGACATGCCAGCTCCACACCTCAATCAAACTGATTATGTCTTCATCATATGAAAATCAAGCACAATCCCTTCCGTTAGGGGTTGAGTATCATCCCATCATAAGAACATAACCCGTATAATGTCAGCAACTGGTTTTAGAATAAAGGTGTTTATTTCCGATGCAAAGACCCTATAAGTGAATCAATATCAATTTCAAAGCATGCTATCTTTAATGACTTGTCAACAGTATTGTAACTATTTCGCTTCTGAATAATTATAAAAAAGAAGATGCGGTATAATAGACAATGAGACAACTCTTCACAAGGGACCAAGTGACACAGAAATTATCAACTACAGGTCACCGTACGGCCTTCAACAATGAGCAAATCCCATGCCACATAGTCAGCTATAAAAGGCGCCGAAATGACAAATGTAAAACAAATCAAACGAGAAAACTAACGGCCTAATTAATGTGCAAATAAATGAACGAAAAACAAATATGTAACACAGCAACAAACGACAACAACTGAATTACAGGCTCCTGACTTGGGACAGGCACATACATACAGAATGAGGCGGGGTTAAACATGTTAGCTGTTTAAAGGATGGTTAGCTTTTGAGGTCAACATCTTGAAATGGATAATTAACAATAGGAAATGTAATATCATCTCTTTTATCGTAAGGTTTCATTATGTTAGCGATTTTGTATTTCCAAAAAAGATAAACGATTCTAGTTTGAGTATTCCAATTGATGTATGTCAGTTGTTCTTTGACCTACGAGTTTCGAATGCCCCTTTGTTTCTTTCGCCAATTGTTACGGTAATGTTTGGCAGAGTTTATACCTGCAAACTTCTCTGGTCAGATAAGATTGGCTAACCCATTCTTCATATATATAAGTATTCATTTATTTTGAAAACAAGTATCTATTATTTAGGAAAGTTAATAACCGCTATGTTAAAAGTGACTGTACATATATAAGTAGACCACTAGCAAATTTGTTCGAAAGACATCAAATTTAAAAAAGGTACACAAAAGCGATTCTTACCGCTTTCAGTTCAAAGAATATTGTTTTGAATATCCGTATTAATTATGCTGAAGACTGAACACTTTTTAAAGTAAAATACACAAACCATTTAAGAGTATGACTAAGGTAAAAAAACAGACCTTAAATTTACAGAACATCAGTTTTTGGTCAAGAGAGAGTAGTTTTCGTACTAATAAATCCGGTGAGTTTAAACGATAGACTGAACAGATTGTATAGAGTAGTGTGGGGGCTATTAACATCGGTTCGTTTTTGAATATATTTTATTCATTGAGATATAAAAAGGAGGAACAAATTGTTTGTCAAAATCTATAATTATGGTAAGATGGTCAAAACAAGGTAAAATTACAGTCACTCCCATTAAAATGTCCATATCATAATGACTGTATAGTATGGTCAACCACACACTGTGGCACACAATCGTACTATATATGAGAGCTATCTGTCAATTGGTATTATAAGAGTTAAGAGTTGAATTATAATCGAATAATCCAGGCTCCTAGAGAAATGATCTGATAGAAAATACGATATTATATATTCAACTACACATGATTTCAGACAATGCTGCAAAGTATGACAGCTTTCTGTAAACTAATCTCAGATAGCTTGCAACAAAATGGCAGTACAATATTTTCAACTACACATGATGTCAAACAATAGCACCCAGTAATAAAACATTCTATCCAATAGTCCCTCAGGAGATGACTTATTAAGGGTGTGTTTGATACAATACTCCAACAAATGGTCAAATTCCATTACAATACCCAACAAAGAAATTGCCACATTCCCATTAATCCCATACAAGTTGTCAAATCAAATTAACAATATAGCTTTGTACTGTATAGAAGTTATGACGACAAGTAATCCTATCAACATGAAAGCTTTATGTGAAACAGTCTGTCAGTATTGATGTGCTCCGAACTAACGAAATGAAAGACAGGTTGGCGGGCGTACGGACGAACGCATACCATCACCATATTCTCGTGACATTATTAACGAATATTTTACAAACACCTTTTTTCAGCCTTGTAAGAAGAGATAACTCAGATTATTTATTTATACTTGATAAACGGGATATTAAAAGAAAACAATTCTGCAATTCATTGTTAAACGTGTACATTTGTATTCATCGAAAGGGGCTGGGACATAAAAAAAAAAGGAAATTAAAGTGCAAAGTCTCTTCAGAGGAGTGTAGAAATCTATTTAAATATTTGACAAGTTAAACGGCCGATAATATCTCCGATGTACCCGTGTCAACAATGATGTTAAGTCATAGACACATAGTGTTCCCTTAACGAAGTCGTACATGACAACGTGATAGTCTTGACAAGTCCCGAATGGTTGAAAAGAGGGACGAAAGATACCAGAGGGACAGTCAAACTCATAGATCGAAAACAAACTGACAACGCCATGGCCAAAAATAAAAAGACAAACAGACAAATAATAGTATAGATGACACAACATAGAAAATCAAAGACTAAGCAACACGAACCCCACCAAAAACTGGGGGTGATATCAGGTGTTCCAGATGGGTAAGCAGATCCTGCTCCACATGTGGCACCCGTCGTGTTGCTTATTTTATTACAGATCCGGTAAATAGTCTAATTCGGTAAATCACATTCGTGAAAAGGGAGGGTATTGTAGTTACGAAATAAGGAACATATCCGATATCATCTGTGAAACGGTTATTCCATAACGGTCAACCAACTAGTGATGGCGTCCGTAAAATTTACGAAGGGATGATTGCAACTTCACCATTGGGAATTCTTGATTTAATAGCTTCCTTGTGAGCAGCAATCCTCTATCAAGGAAATCATGATAGGAAACACAAGCCCGGGAATATCGTATCAATTGGGAGATATACACTCCGTATGCAGGCGCTGCTGGAATGTTGCTACATAGAAATGGAAAGTTCACAATTGGGAAGCTGAAATCATCTCTTTTGTCGTAAAGTTTTGTTTTCAACCGTTTTGTTTACAACATTGTTGTATTGTGAAAGTGTTTTACAATACAACAATGATAAAAAGCATTTTGCTACTTAATTTTTAGTAATATATATATTTACAGTCATTTACACATATGTTTGTCCATGCACTATACCTTAAAGTCTGTCATTAGACCATTGTTGACATTCGTAGCACGGAATTTATTGATACATTGAAATTGATACATTTCAACAGGCCAAAGAATATTTATTCATATATATATAGTATTCAATAATGTTCTGAATCATTCTGAACAGTTTTGCATCTGTGTAAATTTTCATAGGCTTGTATACATGTATTACTAGTATTTTAAATGTTGGGCATATGTGTCTCAAGACTTATTCCTGTACAACATCCTCAATAGATCAATTTTCTAACTATTGTGTGTAGAAACATTCAATAGTGAAACCTATACTTACCCGTATAACCTTAATTTTATAGAATATCCATTAAAGTGTTAATACAAACCTTCCATTCCTTCGTGCTCGGGTCCTTCTTTTTCATTGCTTTTTTAAACAATTGATCAAACAAATGAGAATATGGTCCATGTCCTTAAAAAATGCAAACAAAGGTTCTTTGAACAAACCGTGTTTGAGAGAGAGAGAAGTGAGAGAGGAAAGCATTCCGTATTCAAATTAACATTTAATATATCAACAGCGTTTAATATGTCCGTGTGTTCATACTGTAACAGTAGCTATTATGTATTGCTTGATTGCCACTGTCTTTGAGATATTTTAACTCAGTGTCCTACTTTTCAATATGTCTACTACTATTGATATTGACACCATTGCTATTCAAAAGATCTTGGACTTGACGTCTTGATGTCTATTCAAATTAACTTGAATCAAATGACGAATGAAGCAAGTATTTCAACAGATGAAGTCGAATAACCTGACATTTCGAGCACGATCGTACTTGGATTTGGTGTTTTGAGCACAAATTTTGTTCGCCAAGTACTGAGTTAAGTTTTATGTCTGAGAGCCCTGGTATCATTCAATTTAGAGTTATTTGATTCCAGTTGTTTGAATTCCCGGGTTTGTCTCTTATCCAGGGTGTAAAATCCAAGCCTTCTGATTGCTTTTGATATATATATTTTAAGGCATGGTGTTGCTGATCGTTCAACTGATAATTGTGATTCGAATTGGTATGTGTCTTAATGTTTTGCATACCTATATCATGGCATAAGCCTGCTATTTCTATACACAGTTTGTCTTTCTTGCTCATTTCTGCTTTTTTTAATTTCATTTTCTTTTCATCGTCCCCTTCTTTCTCTAACTTCTTTATGTCTTTGTTAAGCCGTTTTTGCAATTGACGTGCTAGTTTACTGGCTAAGAAACATGTTCTGAATATATATGTATATAATATTATTTTGTATTTTGCTTTAAAAGTTATGGAATTCAACCTAAAATTAAGCACTGTCCTTATTTTCATAAAGCTGCATATTACTACACCAGATTGGGTTATATCAATTTCTATGTTTTTGCTTATATCAGATTTTAAAAGTACCAAAACTGTGTTTCAGCGTTATATCTTAAACTGAAGCATGTGTTCATGCAAATATAACAGTGATAAACTAAACCAAAGAAAGAATATGTGTTTGTTTTATCCAAATATGTAAAAAACTGATAGCTTACACAAAATATATGGAAATATCAAACTTTGAGATAATAAAGGAAATAATAATATATATAAAAAAATATAAATAAAATCATCCTTATTTGTAATTCATATCATGTGCATGCCAGAAGGAAGGAAATGTAAAAAAGTAATGTGAAAGCTGAATTTCATCAAAATCACGAAAACGATCTGTTACTTAAAACAAGCATTTTGATCATGAATGAAGAGGGACATATAAACGTTTATCCTGCAATCGACCTTTCTACTATACTAATACAAGTGTACAGATAACACGAAGCGGTATACGTAAACTAGACGTATATAGTCCCCTGGTATCCTGCTTCTGTTGCGAGCGAACGGTTATGTCAAATTACTGTTTACGTCACAGTTCAATTTTGGGTCATCATTGCGGTCCGCGTTTAAGTCATGTCGATTTCTTTCAAAAACAAATTCAACGATTGGGATGGAAAGAAATGTACAAAATTAATTGCAGGATAAAGACAATAACTGTTTGGTGTCTAAAAATATCAACTGTATTTGTACTCGGCTCGAAACAGGAGTAATAGCTCGCTGAAGCTAGCATTACAACTGTTTCTTAGCCTCGTACAAATACAGCTGATATTTAAAGACACTAAACAGATATTGTCTATATATTGTGGTTCTTTTGGATGGTAGATACATATACCATGAAGCGCAACTAGAGCATTATCATGAGTCAATATGAGACACCACATAATTTAGATATCAGCTGTATTTGTACTCGGCTCGAAACAGGAGTAATAGCTCGCTGAAGCTAGCATTACACCTGTGTCTTAGCCTCGTACAAATACAGATGATATTTAAAGACACTAAACAGTTATTGTCTATATATTGAGGTTCTTTTGGATGGTAGATACATATACCATGAAGCGCAACTAGAGCATTATCATGAGTCAATATGAGACACCACATAATTTAGATATATATTATTTGAGTCATCATGGAATTCAACCACCACTCAAATCAACGACATTTTCATGAGGAAATTAGACAACCTCCAATTATAGTATAGATAATTAATTTTTGCAACGCTTATAATTTAAACGGTTGCAGTACAAGAAAATAACAATTGAATGTTTTGGATATAACATTTGTTGTACTAGAAACAAATTTGGACCATTGAAATGTTTCCTGGTATTGAATGGTAGTTCTAAACGATCAAACCGATATCAAAATCATATCAAATGTCTGAACATTAAATGTTATCTCAAGTTCCGACAAATTTAGGATATTTTCCACGAAATAAATCAAGAATAGTTCACTGAATTGGACGACAATTCAAATTTATTATTTTTTTTATGAAAAATGTATACCTAACTCTTTTTAAAAATGTTTTACAGATGTCGTCATAAAGCTACAAACATTCATACGCATTTACACATCCCTTTATTTCAAATATTTGGGTTTCAGTGACCCTAATGAAGGTAAATCCACAACAGCGCTTCGTACGCATGCAATTTATAAAGTGATATTTTCATTGGTTGATCGTTATTGAATATTGTATCACATATTATCATGGTTATTTCTATTTGTCGTATGCACACTTATTTCTTCTTTCCTCGATTTTTACATCAGCGAATGTGACTTATTAACACATTTTTAATTAAAAAGAGCAACGCAACGGGCACCACTAGTATATTATGAACTGCTTTTTAGACCAGAGCTCCTGATGATTTCATCCCTGTTTGAAGAGGTCCGTATTGTTCCCTTTACAGGTTTAAGTGTTATATAAATAAAACTTATGGTGTTTTCCTTTTTTTTGAGTTTAGGTTTTTAATTGGTGTCTTCTACTATCATTTTACTAAATACTTATAAGCAATATGTTACTTACCCAATACTGTGCTCAAAACGGTTATGTGATGCAGATGGATAAACAAAATAACACCCTCCAAGTTGTTTGATATTTCTCAGTCGTTGAAACTGTGGTGTATCAATTATTTTTATCAGTAGTGGGTCTAGCTCGATTGTGCCATGTATTGGATCATTTAGTATCTGTAGAATACAATATTACGAAATTAGATGCATACCTGATTCATGTATGAATATACTTTGAAAATATCGTCATAATACAAATTGAATGTTCAAGAAAAGAAATTCACTTTTTGCTGTAAAGTATTTTTTCAATTTGGCTTTTTCTGAAATACACATGTACCGATTGTTATTTTAAAAGAGACAATTATAGTTTAACAAGTGTATGATGGATAATTACCGAATAAGACTTTTAAAAATTGGCTTCAAAATACGAAGAGAGTATGTAAGACTACAATACAAATTAAGCTATGCGTCAGGAAATATGCAAACCCATCTAGGATTAGGTACATTTGTGTACATGGGTATTTTGAGTTCATAGAGCGTCGCACTCAACACGAGGTATGATATGTTAGGTCCGTATTTCGACAAGACCGTACTGAGCACTTATACATCTCGCAATTCTTAACTCACCTCCAACCAGATCGATTCTCACTGCTAAACGGGAATATGTCGAGGAGATCAAAGGCAACCTTTCGTGTAAATTTTAGAAGGTTCCTTCATTCATCTCTCTTTAAAGAATCCTAAAATTAAGATAACAAAAATTCCGAACTCCTAGGAAAATTTAAAAAGGAAAGTCCCTTTTCAAATGGCAAAATCAAAAGCTCAAACACATCAAACGAATGGAAAACAACTGTCATATTCCTGACTTGGTACCGGCATTCCCTTGTGTAGAAAATGGTATATTAAACCTGGTTTTATAGCTAGCTTAACCTCCCACTTGTATGACAGTCGCGTAAAATTCCATTATATTGACAGCAATGTGCGAACAAAACAAACAGACATAAAAGTTTGTTACAATTTACCTTCGACATATTACTTTACGCTGGCTTGTTAATCTTTCTTTTTGCCGCTTCGATTTTTGTTCCAATGTCTGTAAATATATCTTTTCAATAGGATATATGTATGAACAAAACAATTACAAATGATAAAAATGTAAAGTTTTTTTAATAACAAAATGGCAATAAATAAATATTTCCTTTTATTGTTTCAAATGCAAACGTGTCATCATAAAACAAATTTATTTACAATAATCCATAAACAAATGTGTTTGTTTTAATATAAATCAAATATTCACATATTTAGTATATTATAAATTTCGATATAAGCATATGGTATCTTATTTGTTTTATTTTTGTTGTTGTTTATAAAGAATATGCATGTAGTGTGGATACAGAAGCAAGTACTCATACGTTCTAAATCACTTTGTTTTATTTCGCATGATTATGTGAAAGTTAGTTCGTAATATCGAAACAAGGTCAAATAAAACTAATTATAATACCATAGCTCTAACGGTCAATATTTGTCTTACCAGAAAGCCTTCCAAGTAGCAGTTACAACTATTACGTTGTTATCACGAGATGGCCTTGCTCTTATCAGTATAGTATATCATTACGTAATTATACTGCCTGATTAAATGTTTTTGATAAAATTTCAATATATTGACTGGTTAGACATATTTGATTCAGATTTTATCAGTAACACAGTATGCTAGTGACCTTATACGATATTTATGGGGTCAGTAAACTCCATATGGGGTGAGAACAACATTATCAAGAGTAGAACGTCAATCGGTGTGTAAAAAAAATACGTTAATCTTCCTGTGTCGTAATTGAAAACCTTCCCTATAATTGTTTGTTATCTTGTACTTTAGTGTAAGATATAATAAAAAATGAATAATTTCCCTTCATTTTGTTTATCATGTGAACACTTTGTTGAGTATTTTTTGGTTGTTTTAATGATGACGATAGCATTTAAAAAAGATTGGTCGGAGGAAAACAAAAAGAAATATGCAAAAGTACAAGAGAAATTTGACAAATACTTCATTGTTAGAAGTAATGTAATCTTTCAACGTGCAAAGTTCAATACGCGAAAAAACTTGATGATGAAGGTGTAGAATGTTTTGTTACATCTTTTTACACATAAATTAAATATTGTGGATACAACAATTTAAGACAAGAAATGATAAGAGACAGGATAGTTGTCAGTATCAAGGATTTCAACTTATCATTGGAAACGCAGCTAGATCCGGAGATTATTCTTAAGAAAGCAACTGACATGGCCCGCCAATCTGAAAATCTGAAAATCTGAACTCAATTGTAGATGCAGTTAAATCGAAATTCAACAAAACTAAATTTGTGAAAAAGCAGATGCCGCCTTTCCATTCACCCCAGAGAAAAATGCCCAGCTAAAGGAGCAAAATGTTTCAAGTGCTTAAATATCAAACACTTCGCAAAATGTTGCAACACCGGAAGAACAGTTGAATCAGTAAGCGTTTATTCGGCCTATGAAGGATTTCTGGGAACAATTAAAACTGTTGGTGATCGGCATTGGGCAACACAACTTTGCATTCGTAAAAAGGAGATACATTTCAAAACAAAAATTATTGTAAACATGTATATACTTTAGATTAGAATAAAACTTATAACCAGTTTTATGTATATATATCAAGATAATATATATTTGTCTTGCCAATATAACACTCATGTTAACGAGAGCGGAAGAAGTTAATGGTTTCTCAATATAATTGTTCAAAGGAAACAAATATGTGAATGATTTTCACTATAATTTTCTATAAATTGAACTTCGAGAGAAGTTTGACATAGACTATTCTATTCACTCACTTTTTTTCAAGTTTTTATATGATAAAGAAAACAAAGATACTATTATTTACGAACGGAAATATATAGCACATTTCTAATGTAAGAATATAACAATCATTTTCTGGAAATCGAAATGGAAGTAAAAAAGAAATCATAAAAAAAAATAAGAAATAAATTAAATATAACAAACGGGTAAAAACAAATATGAATATCTTAACATCTTAATATGTTAAATTGTAAATATCCTAAATTATAAGAGGTCAACAAAGATTATCAAATGTGATTATAACAGACAATGCTCATAAAGATCACAGATAAAAGGCTGATAAGATAAAATCCTGCACAATCAATGTTTAATATGTTCATCGATCTTTTTGATTAATGAATGTTAGTGTCACTGTAAGGTCGTTAACAATGCACCAATGCACGAAACAAATCCCATAAAATCATTTTGATCGAATAATCAGTGGCTTGATTTATGACTTAACAATAACCAGAAAAGAAATACAACAGACAGCAAACAACGACAAGCACTGCATTTCCTACCCTGGTTGTGCTAAAAATTTTCGTAAAGCATAAAATTATTCCTCTAGTTTAATCAGGAAAATGTATATGAATTAACACTTTGTTAAATTGTTATCATGAACTAAGATAACTTACCTTTATAGCTTGAATTTAATTTTACGAAAGCAAGAAGGTACCGGTTTCCTAATAGGATGATTTAAAGGGAACAAATTGGAAACAAATATTTGAATGACTTTTATTATATCATTTTCTGGAAACTAAAACTTATAAACATAGCACATTTAAATGATAAATTATATGATTTCACAATCATTTTCTGGAAATCGATATTGGAGATAAAAAGAAACCATAAAATCTAAAAGAACAAAAACAAATATCAACTTTAAAATACACTAGCATGAAAACAAAGATGAAAAAAATATGCAAAAAAAAAAAACCCCGAAAAAAACAAAAAAACGAAACAGACAACAAAACGTAAACATACTTAACACAAAACTAGAAAAACAACTTTATAACTATTCTCTACTTAACCCTTATTGAAAATTCATTTGTGCTTTGCATTTTCGGGAGAGATCAGCGCTACAGTATTTCTGTTTATATTTGTATTACTTTCACCCTTAAGACCAAAATCAAAATGCTGATAAGACCAACAGGAATTTAAAAAAGGTATAAATAGAACATTTCAAAACAAATATTTTGACCCATCTTATGTATTGGTCAGATTTAAAACATCAAAGTTAAATTTACATGTTTTGGTGAAATGTTGTATTAGAGAAAAATCTAATATTAAAATGACTTGATATATATCGGAAATAATATATATAAATATACTGTCGCGGCCAAATATTTGTGCTGGTTAAGAATATCCTTATTTAAAAAAAGAATAAAACTCACCACGTTACAAAATCAATCAACGCCACTAGTTTAAAACATCCATAGGCATATAAAATCGGTTTCAATTTCAGAATTACACCAAAAAACATTAATACTCAATAGCTGAAAATTTTAGCTGAAGATTTAATTTTAGTAATTGACTAAGCAGTAACTTTACCGATGGTAACGTTTAATGGCAACCTCGTACAGCAACCTTGTATCTGCAGTTTTCTGATATCAAAATGAGATTTAAAATAACAAGGGTCTCTAAGGTGTACATTTAGAAAACCTTGACATGTTTGATAATTTTTAATCATCACGGCCAAATGCATAATTTGTTTTAACAATATTATTGCGTAGATCAATAACACAAATCTCGATATAAAAAATCCTTACAGATAGTTCGAAACAGCAGCTGTGTATTGTCATTTAAATACGAATCAATTCATTTTGGTTACAGCTGTATTTCGAATGAAACAATGCCTTTCTTGCAATCTTTTTTTTCCCAAAAGCAATGTGTAGCGCTATATCATATTTCGTAAATTATGAAACTTTAACGTCTTTTTACCATAAGTTAAAGTTAACAGTGGCACAATTATAGAGGTTATTGGTCATACGAAAGCCCAAAATAAGCCCCAAAAATAGGACGAAGAGATAATTAACATTGCAATTATTTTGAACAAAAGGGATTTTTAATCTATTTTACTATTTCTAGGACACGTCGAAAACACAAAACGCAAAATAGGAAGATTTTCTCTCCAGTCTCCCCTATAAAGAAAATCCGTATTGTTAGTGAATAGGATATGGTAGTTCTGAATATTAAAACATATGATGCGAAACGTATTTTTGTTTACGTTTTTCTTTTTTCGATTTTGATTTCCATTAAACGCTAGGGTTATTTAAATGTTTTTACAATGTTATTTATAGCTAAAAAGAAGTTATAATATCAATTCATATTTGAGATGCAAATATTTGAAAGGAATGCTACGAATTTTGTTAGGTTTATTGATATATTTCTCCTCAAATTCAACTTTGAGAAAGTTATTACGAAAATAAATTTTGCAATAAATCTTTACAATGTTCCATAGTTCTGCTAGATAATAACCCATTAGGTTATGAATTTTGAATCTTGAATCTTTATTTCTATACTCTTAAATATATTAAATTGTAAGGCCATATCACGTTTTTCCTCTTTTTTCGTCATTTTGATAACAAATTGTTCTTAAATGTATAATACCTTAAACTCAGGTAAATATTACATATAGTATTACTCTCATTTTCTTATATTCCAAAAGCAATCACTTTCTATTTTTTTGGTTTTTGTATCTTCTTTTTTTTGTTTGCTCTGTATCAGTCGTCAGTGCTGTCGTACTGTCATAAACTATAAATTCTCGTTAATAAATTTTAAAAAAATCTGATTAGAACTCCGTCAGGCAAAGTAGTTGACCATTTACGAATTTGGGCATTCTTGTAGGTCCATTTTTGGTCATGTAGCTCATCATGTTTTATGTACTTGTACATCCTAGGCTTTGACACTTTCAGTTTTTTTTAGAGTTTATTATGTATGCAAATAATGAAAAGCGCTTTGAACAAGCGAAATATGTATTTAAGTGTTATTTTCATTAACCAGCACTTGTTCGATACCACTGCCGGTTTACTTTTAGTTCCAAAAAGTATCTCCAGCACAGTAGTCAGTGATTCGGTACTTAAATGATTTATGATATATTCAAACAAAAGTCCAAGTTGATTAAGAGGTTAGTTTTATGATTGAATGTGTGTGATGTATGTTTACACAGTTTTGGCTGCTGAATGACAATTATTGTAACGTTAAACAATTATGGTTGTTTGGGTTGCGTTGTAGCCAAGTTGACACCTGTTGTAAATATAACGGAACTACAAAGCACTGTCATTCAAGATGGAGGTTTATCTAGCTAGAAAACAAGGTTTAGCGCACAATTTCTTCAGAAAATGCGCGTATCAAGTCAGAAATATGTCTTCTGTTCGTTTTTGTTGTTGTTGATATAGTCGTGCGTTTGATCATGTTATAGATAATGCATATTTTAAGGTTTTTCTTGTCGTATAACACGCCGAGGGTGTCAGGATTGATCAGGATTGATCAGATGAAAGGCAATCCTGACACCACGAGGTGTGTTATACGACAAGAAACACCTTAAAATATGCATTATCTGACTTATATACCGTCAAAAAATATTATTTTTTGCTAATATTTTTACGAATTGTATCCTATTTTACCGATCACATTGAAGTGGGATATTCTTTTCTTCAGCGTTCAGACATAAACACACCCTACGGCTCATTTTTTATGTGAATTAAAACTCACTAATTAATCTAGATATAAACGTTACAAATCACTGTCCAGTTTCAATATAAATGTT